TAGCTGGATACAGGCATGCGCACCATGCCGGACCTCATTTTCTATGTTATATTTTTAGCGTTGGCCATTAATTTCTTCCTATTTTTAAGTAGAGACGGGGGGTCTCACTCTTGCTCAGGTCTGTCTCGAACTCTACGTCGAGGATCCTCCCGCCGTGTCGCCGCCCAGGGAGTGCTAGGTTACAAGCCGTGAGCCCACCGCACCCGGCCATCAACGGCTTTCGTTGCTCAGTGTCTGGGATTTCTCAAGGAGGAGGCTTGGAAGGGGTGAAGGCGTGCAAGTAAACCAGGACGAAGGTAGACCCACACAAAGAGGCCCAATGCGGATAAGGCAGCGCCACCCCAAGACTCTTTGATCGAGGGTCTGCTCCACGCAATGGGGACATTAGGATTGTCTACTGCCTTTGCGGAGTGACACGCGTGCGGACCTCACACACTTGTCTTCATTTTATCTTTTATTTATTTATTATTTTAGCCATTTATGTATGTGGGTTCAAGTTTAAGGTTGACATATATGCCCATTGGCCCCCCTCAATCCTCCAGTAATACTCATTTATTCTCTAATACTGCGTCCCATGGCCCGGGGCGTTGGCTCACACTGTATCTAAGCGCTCCAACGAGCGAGGCTGGAGGCTCGCTGAGGTCAGGAGTTCGGAACCAGGCCTGAGCAAGAGCGAGACCCCACCTCTACTAAAACAGAAAGAAATGAATTGGCCAACTAAAATGTATAGATAAAAATGAGCTGGGCGTGGTGGCGCTTGCTGTAGTCGCCAGCACTCGGGGAGGCTAGGCAGTGAGGTCGCTTGAGCCAGGAGTTGGGGTTGCCTGTTTCTGAGCTGGTTAGGCTGACGCCAACAGCACTTACCTGGGTGACACAAGTGTGAGACGGTCTGTCTCAACATAAATAAGAAGAAAGAAAGGAATTTAAAATACTGGCCGGGCACGGTGTGCTCACACCTGTAATCCTAGCACTTCTGGACCGAGGGCCGAGGGCGGGAGCATCACTCAAGGTCATGAGTCTTGAAAACCGCCTGGAGCAAGAGCGAGAAACCCCGCATCTCTACTATAAATAGAAAGAAATGAATTGGCCAACTAAAATGTATATATAAAATCGCAGGCATGGGTGGCCGCATGCCGTTGTAGGTCCAGGTAATTGGGGAGCGTGACGCGCGGGATGGCTTGAGCCCGAGGATTGGTTTGAAGGTTTGCCTGTGAGCGAGGTGACGCCGATGGCACTCTAGCCTGGGGCAACAGATGTGAACTCTTTGCTCAAAAAAAAAATCAAAAAAAAAAAAGAAGAAAATACTGCTCCCATGAAGTAGACCTTTAGAATCTCTATTGTATAACTGACGTAACAAAGGCTTAAGAAACCCACCAAATCAGCTGCCATCACGTGATAAATTATAAACACACTATTAAACCTCAACACTACCAAACTTCAGAACCTAAATGCCTAAAATGCCAAAATTTAACCATCCAAAGTTAAAGACCACCTACTTCTTCATTTCTGGAGCTGGAGGCGTAGTGCTTTTCTTCATGCCTAAAACGCAGGCAACAAAGACAGCCGTCAAATATAATACTTCAATGATTAGTCAAGATAAGACATAGGTAGTTTTAAGGTAAAAGCTGAATCACACATAGGTAAGAAGCCACTCTGGTATGGCCGCGGCGGCGGGTGGGCTATGCCTGTAATCCTAGGCATCTCTGCGGAGGCCGGGGCGGAGGATCGCCTCGAGGTCAGGAGTTTTCGAAAACCAGCCTGAGCAACAGCAAGACCCCTGTCTCTACTAAAAATAGAAAAGAAATTAATTGGCCAACTCAAAACTATATGAAAAAACTTAGCGGGCCATGGTGGATGCCTGTAGTCAGTACTCGGAGCTGAGGCAGGGAGATCGCTTGAGCCCAGGAGTTAGGACGGGCTGCTTGGTGGAGTGAGACTTTGACACCATGGCACTCTTAGCCAGACAACATAGAGTGAGACTCTGTCTAAAAAAAAAAAAAACCAAGGCCACTCTGACCACTCCAGCTGCACGTTGTCCGTATCTGGATTCAGATTAAAAACGGTTTCTAGCTGCGTCTGTATTTCCGCCTTCCTCAACAACCAGCCATAAGGGATCGGGGCCATGTCTTATTTTTTTTTGGTGGTTCCCCGCCACTGTGCCAACTGGACACTCTACATGCTCGTTGCATCAGACAGAGTGAAATGAAGAGCACACTGAGGCGGTCGCACACGCTGCTTGCGCATTCTTTCCTTCCTCTGCAAGGCCCGGCCCTGCCAGGTTCTGCCGGCACGCGGCCGGCCGCTAGCCAACTACGTTCGCCCAGCAGGGCATGGCCACGGGGGCCGTGTTCAGCGACGCGGCTCCGGTGTACAGAATGAATGGTGCCATTTTTAGGTTTGCCTTTAAAAGGATCGCCCACGGGCCATCCTCATCCCTTTGCCCTTTCGCTGCCAGCGGAGAGAGAAGCTACTAGAACCAGAACAAACCAAGGAACCACTGCAGAAGCTACCCTACAAGCCCGGACCACCGTCGCCACCACCTGTGGATTACTACATGCAACTAAAACAAATTCTCTTATTTAAGTCAACCATAACATGGGACTGCTCTTTGCTGCAGGGTTAGACCATGCATTCACAATATCAAACTTTAAGAGCCTGAAAAATAGGAAACGTAAACGCAAGGAAACTTGAGCCTCACTTTCTTGTACTTTTTTTTTCTTTTTTTTTTGAGAACAGATGTCACTCTGTTGCCCATGCTAGTAGAGTGAGTGCGTGCGCGTCAGCCGGTAAGCTCAAGAAAACTCACTCCTCTCAAGCGATCCTCCGTGCCTCAGTCCCAAGTAGGTAGCTGGGACACAGGCATGCGCACCGTCATGCCCCGGCTCATTTTTCTATATATTTTTAGTTGCGGCCATTAATTTCTTTCTGTTTAGTAGAGACAGGTGCGTCTCGCTCTTGCTCAGGCTGCCGCGTTTCGAACTCCTGCGCCGTTGAGCTCTCCCGCCCGGCCAGAGCTGTAGGCATGGGCGAGCGCGCGAAGCCAGCCACACGCCCTGCGGCCCGGGCCGTCACTCTTTAATGCGGCTAATTAACGTCGAGGGAATCCCAGCGGGAGAACCAGCTGCGGCGCACTCTAGAATTGAAGCCTGGAGGAATGAGAAGGTCGCCTCGGTCGCGCTCCCGCAAGGCAGCCATCCTGCACATGTCACCTACTTGCTTCAGGAAGCTCTATCAGTCTGCCCCAGTGACTGTCCTGCATAGTGGCCAGGCAGGACAACAGAGGGACAGCAGACCCCACCGTCACTCGGCGCTCCTGCAGCACTTGCAACTTTAATGTCTGTGCATTTTCCACTGATGACTAAAAGCCTTCACTTGCAGGACTTATAAGCGGGCCTTAGTGTCAATCAGCCCTAGACATTTTCGAGTCCTACTGCAGTTTACACTGGAGTGTCATTAGAGTGTCTTGGCTGCTCAGAACGACTCTGAAGCCACTACCGCAAATCCAGACCACTCAGCCCCAGCGAATGACAAGAGTCCTACTCCGATTGCGACAGGCAGTGCCTTTGAGGTTCCTAGATCCCAGCTGGGGGAGTTTTATCTGCTTGCAACATCCACATCGATGAAGCAGAAGCTGCTGGCGGTTCCGACGGTTAGGCTCCCACTTTCAATAGATTCACTTCTTTTTTTTTAATTAATTACTTAATTCCTTTTGTCTCGTATCACATTTGCCAGATATGGACTTGATATCACATAGATCACTTTTAACAGCGGTTCCATCGTTGTCATAAAAGCTCCCTAAGGGGCCGCCCGGCCGGAGTAGTGGGCACTACAGGCATGCGCCACCATGCCCAGATAGATGTTTCGCGTCAGGGCCGGTGGGTCACTCTAATCGCTGTTGGCGTATATTATTTCTTTGCTAACTCCACGGCCTCTTCTATTAGTAGAGAGCGCGGGGGCCGAGGCGGCGAGTGCTCGCTCTGCGCTCAGCTCGGTTTTGAGATCCCGTCCCCCGACCGAGGTCAGAGTTCGAACCACTCCGGAGCAGGATGTCAAGCGCGTCCGCAGCCTCAGGCCCGTTCATATAAACAGAAAGAGAATTCACTTCCCAGCGCCAACTGAGTGCTGGGAACATGACAGGCTACGTGATGTAGTATAATGAAAAGGCGCTAGACCGCCCGCTGTCAAACAACAAATTAGTTGTCCAACTAATTTCTTTCTATTTTTTTAGTAGAGACGGGGGTCTGGCTCTTGCTGGGGCTGGTCTCGAACCCCTGACCTCGAGCGATCCTCCCAAATCTAGAGTTATCTTAACACCTACCTATTGTGTTAGAAAGTCGTGCTTCATCTGCTCGTGGAAACCAAGGCACAGCCTGGGCGTGTACAGACTACAGACATAAGGATGTTAAGGAAAATAATTGCTGAATTTTTATCACTAGAGATTCCAGACAGGGTGAATCCCCAGTAATAGCTTTTGCCACGATGGACTTCTGAACACATTATTAGTCCTTGGTTTGTGTACTCTGCTTAAATCTAATATGTCCCAGGAAAGAAGTCTTGGGAAGATGGAATCTCTAAGTTCCGGAAGTTTTCTGGATACGATATCCATTCCTTTTTACTGATGCATGATAGTCCATGGTATAGATTTTGTTTGTCCATTTTGTTTATTGTTCATCAGTTGATGGACATTTGGGCTGTTTCCACATTTGGGTGGCTTATGAATAACGAGGCCTTGAATAGCTGTGTGCAAAGTTTTGCATGGAAATGCATTTTCATTTCCCTTGCGTATTTACCTTGCAGGGGGTATGCCACGTCATATGCTGACTCTGTGTTTAACCTTTGAGGAACTGATTTCGTATCAGTTTATTCCCAGAGAACTTTTTCACATCACCTATTTTATTATTTTCTTTTCTTTTCTTTTCTTTCTTTTTTTTTTTTTTTTTGAGACAGGGTCTCACTCCATTGCACGGCCTACAGTGAGTGCCGTGGTATCAGGCTAGCTCACAGCAACCTCACACTCCTGGGCTCAAGCGATCCTCCTGCCTCAGTCTCCCTAGTAGCTGGGACTACAGGCATGTGCCACCATGCCCGGCTAATTTTTCTATATATATTAGTTGGCCAATTAATTTCTTTCTATTTTTAGTAGAGATGGGGCCTGGCTCTTGCTCAGGCTGGTCTCAAACTCCTGAGCTTGAGCAATCCTCCCGCCTTGGCCTCCCAGAGTGCTGGGATTACAGGCCTGAGCCACCGCACCCGGCCAGGATGTCGGTACTTTGAGATGGGAGTCTGCCAGCCTCCTCATTTGCCTGCAAATTAATAAACTTCTCTTTCTCCTAAAAAACAAAGAGAGAGAGAAAAGAAAATCGTGAACGGACAAAAGCATATAGCGCAGCACTGCATGCACATACAGAGGATGAGGAATACATGAATAAGTGAATGAATCTCATAAGCGGGTTTCTGGTTTAGCATTTCACCACAGAATGGTTATGAATGAAGCTGACTGCAATACTTTCTTTGATTACTAGGACTTGTCACAAGACTGCGGTACCCGGTTAGCACGAATGGGAAGAATGCACCAACCACTGCAGGATTTAGCTACGGTAACTCTCATCCCGTGGTTGCCTTTGGCTCATTTTCCTGGAAAAGAATCCATTGTCAAGAGACAAATTTGGGAGTCTAGAATTCCACCCATCTACTCGGGAGGCTGCAGCCGAGGGCTCGCTTGAGGCCGGGAGTTTGAGACTGCTGTGAGCCACGGCACTCTAGCGCAGGCAACAAGAGTGAGACTCAGTCTCAAAAAAAAAGGGGGGGGGGCTTTGCCGGAAGCAACGGAGACAATCAAGTTGGGGGTCTTCTCTGCTACCTCCACCACTAAAACATTCCGTGAGTAACCAGCGCAGCTGCTGAGAACCAGGAAGGGCTCCGATTAATTTTAGATGTGACATAATCATGCTTATTTTTTTTTATTTTTTTTGAGACAGAGTCTCGCTTTGTTGCCCAGGCTAGCGTGAGCGCCGTGCCGTCAGCCTAGCTCACAGCAACCTCCAACTCCTGGGCTCACAGTGATCCTCCTGCTCCAGCCTCCCAAGTAGCTGGGACTACAGGCATGTGCCACCAGGCCCGGCTCATTTTTTCTATGTATATTATTTGGCCAATTAATTTCTTTCTATTTTTAGTAGAGACGGGTCTTGCTCTTGGCTCAGGTGGTTTCGAACTCTGGCTTGAGCGATCTCCCACCCTTGGCCCCCAGAGTGCTGGGATGACAGGCGTGAGCCACTGCGTCTGGCCAATCATGCTTATTTTTCACCGACAAAAAGTTTCCTACTGAATTATGAATAACGACGAAAAGAGAAAACCTAGGATCACGACAGCTATAAATGGTACCATCTAAAAACCCATATTATAAGCTTAGCAGAGAAACAACTCTGCTAGG